TCTCTCTCTCTCTCTCTCTCTCTCTCTTATTACGTTTGAATTTAGACTGTCCCAAATGAACGTGCACTCGCATATACGCACACATCGATGACGACACACACAGCCGCTTGCAGGGATTTTATCACAGAACAGCTAGAATTAAAAAATAGATATATCTAAATAAACTAGAAAAACATGTGGGTATTGGGAACATCGATTATTACACATTTAAACTGGTTAGAAACAATTCCATTTCAGAGCTTACTTGAGTTTTGATCAAGTGGTGTGAAAAGGAGATAAAAAAGCTCTCCCTTCGAATCTCTGGCTTTTACTTTGGACGAAATTCAACAACCTTTTCTTGGCCGATCTTTAAATTAAAGGCCATGATGACATGTGTTCGATGACCGTGTCGTATAGATATGGTGTTGCAATGTTTTTGACGCACTAAAAAATTAATAAAATGAATTTTTGAAAAGAGCAGCTGTCTTGTACTGAATGCCTGCTTTCACGGGGAGCCAAGGCAGTTGGATTTAATATTGGTGCTGCATGCCCCATGAGGGGTTTCTTTAAAAGTATGCAAGCAGCTCGAGTCAAAGAATTCCTGTAGCTTGTTCATCGATTCAGTGGGAAGGTTTCCAAAAAGACAGTTGCAGTAAAATAGACGAAAGAACCATAAAGAGAGTTTTAACGGAATTTGACACTAACCTGTTATGTTAACATTGCAGTAGTAGTAGTAGTAGTAGTAGTAGTAGTAGTAGTAGTAGTAGTAGTAGTAGTAGTAGTAGTAGTAGGAGGAGGAGGAGGAGGAGGAGGAGGATCGTTATTTAATCTGACCTAGGCCTTCGTCACTGTCAGTCGAGAGTGGCTTTGGAAAAACACAAAATGATCATTGCCGTTATACGCCAATTTCATGACGGCGTGCTGACCAGAGTCCGGCGTCTGTGGTGTAGCAGTTAAACGCTTTGCTATCGCACGTAGGAGCCCCGGGTTCGATTCCCAAGTGGGGAGAATACGTAGAGTATCTGCAGGAATTTGTATCCCTCTCAGCCCCGGATTGGCCCTAACATGCAGGGTCGAGAGCTCACCTCCTATGATAATGTGATCAAAATTCTGTCTGAGGGGACAGAAAAACATAAACGTTTTTTAAAAAGGGGGTCCAAGATTAGGGCGAGACGTCGAAACAGTTCCCAGTCTCAATCGGAGT